CACCACCAACTAGTGATTATTAACCATCATTAACCATCATTAACCATCATTAACCAGCATTACCCCATACTAAACCAATGTTCCAAACCACCAATCAGAGAAGTTGACCATTTAGTACTCCCCCCACAGGTCCACGTCCCTCGGGTACGTGAACCGCCTTGAAGGGCTGACATTGGCCCATCCAGCGACAGTGACTGCAAGAGGCCTGGGCGTCCACTGCAAGTGGCGAAAGGGGAACGAAGAGAAAGATGTGGAAAACCCTAAACTAAGGAAAATGATCACCCCCAGAACTTGTGAACTATCACTTCTATCAGAAAGATGTGGAAAATCATGGATTTTTTCCCCTGAAATGCTCTACAAATGGTGGGCTTTCCACATCTATGTCTATGCAAATCTTAGGGAAGGGCACCGTGTCCCTGAGGCTGTTTTTTTACCTATACACAGTATACAAGTGGTTGGAGAAAGCCTGATAGTGATCATAAATTGAGGCTAACCCCCCAATTTTTGGACAAACCCAAACCCGGAATCTTGTTTTGATAGGAATGAGATCAACATCCGACTTTTCATCATTATTGTTGGATATCGGTGGTTTGATTGGGACAAATGTCTGATGGAGAAAGCAAAACATCGATACTGCCAATTTATATAAAGTAGACGAAACAAGAAACATCATTATATGGTTATTATATGGTTATTATATGGTTATTATATGGTTAATGATGGTTATTATATGGTTAATGATGTTGATTCGAACCATCATCGTTGAAGATGGTGATTCAAATCAGCAAACAAGCAAGCTCCAGCAAGCTCTGTTGGTTTTTCAGAGTGTTCAGTTTCCATCAGTTTCCACCATCCAACAAATGGCTATGAATCAATACCTATTAATACAATTTTTAGAGGGATGAACATCCAGAAATCCCAGCTATTTTGATGTGAACAGAAGGGGTACAAGGTTTTGACACACTGCCAGATCTGAAATTCGTTCCCAGCATGTCCCACCGCTGAACGCCCCTGTTTTGGACTCGTTACGCGTGGAGTTTCCGCTGCAGGCTTGGAGTGTTGATCAATGTCCCAGTCGAATGAATATACCCAGTGGAGGATCATCCTAAGGATCGTAAGTGGCTCATAAACATGGTTAATAATATGGTTACTATATGGTTACTATATGGTTACTATATGGTTACTATATGGTTACTATATGGTTATTATATGGTTATTATATGGTTAATGATGGTTAATGATGGTTATTATATGGTTAATGATGGTTAATAATGGTTAATGATGGTTAATGATGGTTAATGATGGTTAATGATGGTTATTATAGGGTTAATGATGGTTAATAATGGTTAATGATGGTTAATGATGGTTAATGATGGTTATTATATGGTTAATGATGGTTAATAATGGTTAATGATGGTTAATGATGGTTATTATATGGTTAATGATGGTTAATGATGGTTCTTATATGGTTAATGATGGTTATTATATGGTTAATGATGGTTAATGATGGTTAATGATGGTTCTTATATGGTTAATGATGGTTAATAATGGTTAATGATGGTTAATGATGGTTATTATATGGTTAATGATGGTTAATGATGGTTAATGATGGTTAATGATGGTTATTAAATGGTTAATGATGGTTAATGATGGTTCTTATATGGTTAATGATGGTTCATAATGGTTAATGATGGTTAATGATGGTTAATGATGGTTAATGATGGTTAATGATGGTTATTATATGGTTAATGATGGTTAATGATGGTTCTTATATGGTTAATGATGGTTATTATATGGTTAATGATGGTTATTATATGGTTAATGATGGTTAATGATGGTTAATGATGGTTAATGATGGTTAATGATGGTTAATGATGGATAATGATGGTTATTACATGGTTAATGATGGATAATAATATTCTGGTTGGTTGAGCCCTACCCCTCTGAAAAATGATGGAGTGAAAGTCAGTTGGGATGATGCTATTCCCAATATATGGAAAGTATGGAAAGTCATAAAAGCCATGTTCCAAACCACCAACCAGCATTTAGTTCAGCCAGTCATATATAAGATAACCCCACTTGCATTTCATCAACTTTTCACCCAGCTGAAAGATGGTAAGTGCTTGTGAGATAATTTCCCACATAAACACCCCTTCTGTTCACATCAAAATAGCTGGTGCGTCCCCTAAAAATTGTATTTATAGGTATTAATCCATGGCCATATAGTTAAAAATAACCTTATAACCATCATTAACCATCATCATTAACCATCATGAACCATCATTAGCCATTCTTATCCATCATCTTCACCCAATCGGGATCGATCTACGGGATGATTCCCTGGTGCCCCACCTATCTTTGGGGTTCCTCCCTGCCCTCAGAGTTGCCAATTGAAAATGGGGACTGCCACCCCCTGAAAGTCATAGAAAGACGTCATTCATCAATGGGAATTCCAGGATCCTAAAATGAAGGTACTGTACCATATAAGGCCATATTTGGGGATATTCCCTTACATAGGCCTAAAAAATAGGCCTTATATATGGTAGGTACCTCCAATTTAGGATCCTGAAACTGCCATTGAATTCAGATTCGTTAGGACTTCCAAGTTGGCTCAACTCCCCATTGATTTTGCTTCTGAGCCATGTTTTGTTTCCTACATTCCCACGGGTTAATGCTTTTATTGTTCATGTTTATTCCCTGAAATGTTGGTGTTCCCATTATTTGCCATGTATCACCCATATATAATCATATATATATATACACATAGTGTGTCCCATTATTTTCCATATATCAAACGTATATCTTCCATCCAACATGTTCAGCTTTTTTTCTCGGTCACATGTCAGATCTGATGCTTCGCTCACGCTCCAACCCTCGGCGACTTGGCTGGACAAAGCGTGCGTGCGAATTTCAAGGCACTCTCCATCTTCATTGCTTCGTTGGGGTCCAATTAGCGATTTTATGGTCATTTAACTAACAGAAATTGTGGTTTAATGATCCAACTCTTCTAACAACATTTTTTACATGGTATGTTATGATCATTCAATCGTGGTTTTGTGGTAATTTCATGCACGGAAATGATTTTTTAATGAGGACATAATGGAATAATCTTACGGACTTTTTCGTGGGATATAGTGTTTTGTTCTTAGCATGTCCGACATGTCCCAGTCTTAGAACAATTTTATACCTGGTGCTCTAACTTTGTTTCTAACATGGGGAAAGAAAAACACTATGAAACATGTCCCAACTGACATGAAATGGAAAGCCAAGCTGGTGGATTTGGACGACGGTATTTTCCCATTGAAAATCACACACCTTTGGGTTGCACGTTACCCTCTGGTAAACCAACATAGCTATGGAAATGGGTAAATCCACTATAAATTGCCATTTTCAATAGCTATGTTAAATTACCAGAGGGTAGATTTTCGCCATGCAAGATCAGAAATACGAACGACGTTTCTACTACAGATGCAAAGGATTTCCTCCCGAAAAGACTGCTTCATCCAGCACGGAGGTTTGCAAAAGATATCCAAAAGCACAATTCGTTGGGTGAAGAAGTCTATCCACTGGCCAGAATGCAGCAGGAACGTTGGGATTTTCCGTCAAGATTTCGCACGTGTTTTGTTGCTGCTTCTGATTGGGTGATACTGGGTGTGTGTGTGTGTGTCCTAAATTTCAGGAGAAATGAGCCAAAAATGGATCCCTGTGGACAAAGAGTCGAATAGATTGGTGTGAAAGTTTGCAGTTGAAGCCATGGTTTTTGTCAGAAGATGTCGGGGTTTCCGGTCAGAATTTGACAACATCATCGTGGGTATGTTTGAAAATTCTGAAAATCGGGTATACCCCATTTTCCAAGGCATTTCAAAAATGGGATGTCTGCGAGGACCCTATTTTCAGACACACACATCTGGGATTGGTGAAATAAAAAAGTTTAATCCGATATTTTGTCCTTTTCGAAAAAATTGAGGGGACGCTTGGTATACGATTCGTTCTCATCCACCTATTGGTTTGCTGTATTGGGGGACCCTTGAGAAAAATGCATCAGGAGGGATGGCGCCTTGGAAATGAATTCCGGCAGTGCCGATGGTGTTCCGGAGCCTCTTGGATGTCAGAGGTAAGATGGTAAAGTCAAAAACATGTTTTACTCTGTGTGGTGTACATCCTCTCCATGATCTTCATGTAATCTCAACATGATCTCCACAAAAACAACAAGTCAATTCTTGTCAAATGCCCATGTTAGAAGTGACTGAGTGAGTTCATGTCTAGAGACTCTAAATCGTGTTATAAATCCCGGCGAAACCCAGCAGGGCCATACAAGGTGAGCTCTGCGAAATCGCGAGATGTTGAAGCAAAGAGCTTTGGCAAAATTCTATGGTTGATAAATGGGCGATATAACGAACCAATTATATTATATAGTGTGGTTTACTGTATGAAGCAGCAAACATAACTGGGCCTCATCTTGTATACCGTAATTTTTTATTAAATCTTAGGGGACCCAAAAAATCTTCAGGTTCCGATTTCAAACATGGCTTCTGTTAAAGGAAAAAAACGTATCCAAAAGTCTTGTAGATACCACCTTTTCAAACAACCATGTCATATTGTTGGTTCTATATATATATAACCTTCAAGATTCTATTACATTCCCATAATGTCACCATAAAATGGTTGGGCTTTACAAAAAAACATCCCATGAATCACTAAGTCACTAGATTTCCATCAAACTCCCCATCATTGTTTTTTCGCTTCATTGTATCCAGATAGAACACCCATATTTTTTATCTGAGATTCCCATATTTTACCACCATTGTTGGTGAAGTCCCAAATTTTCATGGTTACCCGGCCTGGTAAACGTTTACAGTTCGCGAACTTGAAGCCATGGCCCAGTCGAAATCGTGGGTAAATACCCATTCAAAATGCTGGATTTTCCATCGATTTCCATCGTTTTTTTCTATGTAAAACTAGATTTCCCATAGATTTCCCATAGATTTCCATAGTTTTACCAGATTTTCATGGGTAAAACGTCCCCAAAAAACGGAACGCTGGCTCCGCCCTCAACGCTTCGGCGCCCTGGCTCCAGCCTGGAAGTCGATGGATTCCACGACTTTTTGGTAGGCGACCCTCTGGTAAACATACCAAAAAACTATGGAAAATCACCATTTTCAATGAGAAAATCCACTATGTCGATGGTCATTTTCAAGTCCGCAAACTGTTTGTCATTACCAGAGGGTACCCTCTGGTAATTTAACATAACTATGGAAAATCACCATTGTTAATAGGTAAATCCACTATTTCTATGGTCAATTTTCCAGAAAATCTGGTAAAACCTATGGAAATCGATGGTAATCTATGGGAAAATCCACCAAAATCGATAGTTTTACATAGCAAAAACGGTGGAAATCGATGGGAATTCCAGCATTTTGAATGGGTAAACTATGGAAAATCACCATTTTTAATGGGAAAATCCACTATAAACTTGCAATTTTCAATAGCAAACTGTTAAATTACCCAGGCCGGGTCACTTGAGGAAAAAAATTCAACACAAGTGGAGTTCTAAATCATCTAAATCGCTGCGAGTTGCAAATGGACATATGGATCCCAAGTACAGAAAATGGGTGTGACGACTATCCGATCAACAAACTGGCGTCTATTCTCATTTGGTGGGTCAATAAGCAATAGCCTGTGGCAGTTTCTCACTAGCATGATACTTGTCTACTCACCAAAATAAGAGTCATATGACGTTTGATGCAGTGCACCTGGTAAATATCTGAAAATTAATGTGGATCCTTAATCTTTTGCGGTTCCCTTTTTGCTCCGAAGCTAGGAAGGTTAGCCCTGCTTGTGACTGGAAAGGGGGAGGATTCACTGCAAAAGGTTGCTAGCCTACTTGCAGTACTTAGCAACTTGCAACTAAATGCACCAAAAGATTTCAGGCAGAAATGACATCTGCATTATCTGCTTGCTGTTGGTACCTCAAATTCGCCAGATTCATCTATCATTTACACTCTGAGAATCCAATCTACTTGTAGCAGCGGAAAATGCAATATGAGGATTCTCGATTGCCATGACTACCAGAGTGGACCAGTCAGAAAGGTCAGACTTGGGATTGTCTAGTAATTCTGTACTCCTAAATCCGTTGTTTAATCAGCAATTTCCCTATTAAAAATGCCATAAATTGGGCGAATACACCTCATGTTCAGATACTGTACTTGCTTATATATTGCACTACAGTACATGTCCATCAGTTCCATAAAATCACATGTGTTCAATTATATATGCCCTCTGGTTCTTTAACGTAGCTATAGAAAATCATCCTTTTTGATAGGTAAATCATCATAAATGATTTATAAATGGGCCATCCATACCATAGCTATGTTAGTCATAACCAGAGGGTAGACCCACCATTTTCACACACAGCCAACTCAGAGTTCGACCCATTGCTTGCCCAATAATATCAACATGATGTTTTCACTTGGTGAGACTATCATAGGTCATCCCGATATTGGGAATCCATAGATAATCAGTTCATCTAAATCCCTATGAATATTAATATGTATATATATATATCTGGGTAAATTATAATATTTCACTAACCTGAATTAAGGCCAATGTGGGGATGATTTCCCTATAAAAACCATGATTTCCAGTGAGGGAGAACAGTGAGGTCGTTATAATTTACCCAGATTACCTGTTCACTAACATTATCTGGTTGGTGGTTTCAACCCCTCTGAAAAATATGAGTTCCATTCTATTCCCATATATATATATACATATGTATATACATATCTATTCCATTCTATTCCCATACTTCAGGATGCCGGCCAGGGAAAAAAAATCAGGCCAATTCAGGCCATGGGATTCTAAGCCCCAGAACTTGGGACATGATCCCTACAACGGTGGTGCCCTACTATGGTTCATGGCAGATATAACGAACTAGTTAATGGGGGTTATAAACCAAAGTTCACATCACTGGGGGGCACCATCCTGTATAACTACTGGCAATTTCTATAAATCCACTTACCCGGCCTGGTAAACATACAAAAAACGATGGAAAATCAGCAGTTTTAATGGGACAACTCACGATTTCTATGGCCATTTTCAATAGCGAACTGTTAGTTTACCAGAGGGTATAACTGAACCTGCAACCAGAATCTGCCCACGTACGCGATGTCACCTTCTGATTCTGCAACTGAAGCAGAAGCGAAGGATTCTTCACCTGGCAGATTGCTGGAATCCATTCTCCCGTCCCTGGTTACAAATACTGTATGTCTATACTATACATATATATATATATAATATACATAATTATACATATATGTATGCGCTGTGGGCATACGCATGTATATATATATAGACGCATATAAAAATGGCAGCTGCTTGCCCAACATTTTCAAGGCGAATTCTTTTAAGATCTAAAGCTGTAAAAAGTCCCAGAGAAAACCAATTCCTATTCCTTGAAGTGCTTGAAGTACGAAGTATTGGCTACGATCACTTTGAATACTAATGTTGTGTTGTGTGAAGCAACTGATTGCTAATAAGCTTATTGCCTACAACAGGGGGAATGCGGATATATACAACATCCTTCGCCCAATTTGCTCTTAAGAGTCAATGACCCCCCTTTCGGGATTCTCTGGTAGATCCAAAATGATTTTGAGACGCACCTGTGCCCAACCATCTATATGGAGGTGTCCGATCCATGGGGCTACCTTGAAATCATGAAATAAACCATCCAGCGAGCTTGGGGATTCCTGACAAAACGGAAACCCCCATGACGAGCAGGACGTTGGATCACTTTATTGAGAGGAAACAATTTTTTGATCCTTGAGTTGGTGTCCAAACATTGACATTCTTCGGTCCCATAAATCTTCAGGGTGGATTTGTTAACCGGAGGGTATCACCAATTGTATAATCCATTGAAGGGGATCCACTTGTTCATCACCGATTCTATGAACCGTATCCCAGTATATTCCAATTTTGCATACGTATATACCATGATCATTGCCATGATATCAGCATTAAAAAGAACCTTGGTTGTTTATCCCACTAATATCCAATGAATATCCCTGTGAAAGCCAGACTCTTGATGGGTAGATTGGCATACATATTATTATCATTGGGATATATAGTTGGGATATTAATGGAATGATAATGATAATATACCATCAAATATACCCTCTGGTAATTTAACATAGCCATTGAAAATGGTAATTTATAGCGGATTTACCCATTGAAAATTGTGGTTTTCCATAGTTATGTGGCAGTTTACCAGAGGGTACCGTTAGTATACCACTGATATACCAGGAATATCCCATCAACATCCCATATATATCCCCATTGTGGTTGGTTTTACACCCTGTTTTGTTGATTAATGTCCCCAGTTTGTCCCCAAAAATCGTGTCAAGTTGGTTATACACATCCCATTATTAATTGCTGTTTAACGTTAATTGCCATTAAACCATTCATATCTCACTATCATTTGATTGATAATAATATATACCATCACTATCCCAGAAACAATAATCGATATCCAGAAACATTTCCATGAAACATAATACTTTTTTGCGCTGTTTGTATGTCAATTAATCTTAAATGATTGATATAATGTCAACCCCGGATTAATAAACCCCAAACGGCTATTTAATTCGGAGAGTACCATTTCAATAGCCATTTATCACTATTTGGGGGAACCGCCACAATTAATCAACCAGGGTTTATTAATCCGGGGTTGACATTATCTGTATCCTGTTATTACAAGAGAATATGGTTATTACATGTAACGATGTATCCATTGTAATTATCATACCATTATCTCTTTGTCATACTGTGGATGGAAGAAATCCTGCACCAGTTGATAGGCAGTTTTTCCCAGTATTTACAGCGTTTCAACCATCATAGGTGATGCAGGATTTCGCAACCATCCACCGTATCATGATTATCCTATTACCTGTTCACTAACATTATATAATTGCGACAATATCACTATTAGTTCCCCATCTTTGCCCCCTTGCCCTTGATCTGCCTTAACCAACGCGCTCATGTCGTGCAGTTTGGACTGCATCAAGGCAAGTCGGCCTAAAAAAAATCAAAACGCACCCAGTGACCGGGATTTCACCAACGAAGAATGCTGATTGGAAGTCCATGGGAAAGGAAAACCATAGGAAACCCATGGGAAAAATTGTGATTTATGGTGATTTGATGGGATTTTACGGACTTTAACTAACATCATTATGGAAAATAACAATTTTCAATAGGTCAATAAACGGACTAGATGATGATTTAATAATACCATCTAATCTAGATGATCATGTAATAGCTGGCAATAAAACCACCTATTTGACCATCATAAGCTAGATTTACCCATTGATAAGATAATACTGGGATAATACCCTCTGGTAAACTAACGTAACTATGGAAAATCACCATTTCTACTGTCTGCACGGACATGGAAAGAGTGTACCATTTCTAATGGGTAAATCAACGAACTAAATGGCCATTTTCAATAGCGAACTGTTAGTTTACCAGAGGGTAATAGAACTGATATCACCAATAAAAATGAGAAAAAAAGGCCAACATAAAAAGAATTTGACCCAGGGCATGGTTTTGACGCATAGCAACATCATGACACCTCCATGTCCAATGTGCTCCAGGAACTTCAATTTCAAGGGAGACGCTGGAGCTAGAGATTCTGCAAAGCCATACACTTTCAAGGTCAGATTTTCAGACGCGCAGTAAGTCTTGAACCCGCCAATCAGCCTCAAATTCATCATCAAGTCGGCCAGTTTACAAGTTTATACGTGTGGGCCCCCAGTGATAAGTTGGTTTACAAATCCATCTACAGGAACTCTACATTTATGAACCATAAAGCATAGTTCATCAAGTTATCCGTCAACTTAGCTACCCTAAACGGAGGCCTCACTTTGCACAAATACCACCGAAATACTCCCAGCGCAGCCATGCCTTTGACACTGTTGTACCGGAAGGTGATTTGCTGTCTCACCACCTGAATTTCAGTTCCAGGAGCGTAGGCTTTTTGGGCCTACTTCAGGTTAATCTTTCCATATCTGTCCCGTTCTGGGAAGAATGGGCGGGGCATAACTCACGACACAAAAGAACGAGATGCAAAAAAAATATCCTCCAGTAATCAAACCAGAACACAATGGAAAAACCGCCAATTTATAGAGGATTTTCTCCTTAACACCTGCATTTCGTGCGGGGATTTCCCAGCCACGTTTGATGACGGAGGGTATCAGCCCGGACCATCCCGGGGGTTCCCAGCTCCAAACCTGACCTCCTCTGGGGAAGCATCGAAGCTCAGCGAAAGAAGCTCCACAAACTTGTACTCCTACGTAAACGGTGGGGCTGAGGTTACAAATGGGTGAGCTTAGCAATACTCGAAAAGTACTACCCTCTGGTAAACGTTTACAAAACGATGGAAAATCACCATGCTATTAATGGGTAAATCAACTATTTCTATGGCCATGTTTAATAGCGAACTGTTAGTTTACCAGAGGGTGCTACAATTTCAATGGTGAAAAACCCTACCGCATTGGTGTCATGACATGGAAGATATCCCCAAGATGCCACACCTGACTCTCTATAGCCATGGTTAAAACCGCTTTTCATTGCCATTCCGGCTCTCGTCCCAGTCAGAAAAACTTCAACTACTCATCACTTACTTTGGCTTTGTCTGAAAACATGGTACCCTCTGGTAAACTAACATAACTATGGAAAATCACCATTTTTAATGGGTAAATCCACTATAAATTGCCATTTTCAATAGCTATGTTAGTTTACCAGAGGGTATGTCCATGGTTCATCATTATGTTGCCCATTCTTCAACAATCCGGAGGAAACCATCCCCCATTGCACAGCCACTGAAAAACCTTCACAATCTGCTGGATAAAACCTCCAAAAGCAAAACCATTTCCATTTTTTTCACAGTCCCCCAACTAGGCTTATCCTATTTACAGCTGGGGAAACTAACCTCACTTACGCCAGATACAAATCGATGAACATTACTGGCTTGTTTCGCCACGTTTGCATCATTTTGCTGTTTATATCCCCGTTTTACTGCTTAAATCCCAATGTTTATTGCGAAAATCACCATGTTTCCCTAGAAATCCCAAAAGTTACTGCATAAATCTCCATTTTTTCCTTGAAATCCCCAATGTTACTGCGTCAAATCCCAATTTTTTTTCCTAGAAATCACCATTTTTACCGCTTAAAATCTGCCTTTCTCATGTCTGATTTCCGCCCCCGGGCCACCGCGCCATGTTTTGGATGAAGTCCAGTCGCGCTTGGCCGTCGCGTTGCATCACGAAGACGGCCAGGAAGCTTTGCGGCTCCTGATGGCCGTCCGGAGGTCTGGATCATAGTGGAAAAAAGTGGTGAATATGGCAATATGGGATTATATATATATATATATATGGATTATATATGGATTTACTATGGTTTATGGATTAACTATGGTTATAATGTAATTAATATACTATCAATGGTAATTTCAGGATCCTAAAATGGAGGTGCGTAAACGTACCATATGTTTGGCCAGATTTTGTGGGGATATTCCCTGAAATTTAGGCCTAAAAAATAGGCCTTATATATGGTGGTATACTGGTGATATGTAATGGATATGTTACCCTCTGGCAATGACTAACAATAGGAAAACCATAGGAAAACCATAGGAAAATGATGGTACCCTCTGGTAAACTAACAGTTTGCTATTGAACATGGCCATTTATAGTGGGTTTTTCCCATTAAAAATTGTGATTTTCCATAGCTATGTGGCTGTTTACCAGAGGGTATACTGGTGATATGTAATGGATATAACGGATATAATGGATCATTTATTGAGATTTAGATAGGGATCTGAAAAAATGGTCCTTTCCAAAGTCATGGGGGTACCCCAAGCTCGTTGGATGGTTTATTTCATGGACAATCCATCTATAAAAGGGATTATTTTTTGGGGGTGCCCATATTTTACCTCCAAATGGTGCTATAGTGGTGCTATTATGGTGGATATAATAGATCTTGAATGTATTATATCACCACTATGCATGATCATAAATTATCATAAGTTATGTGATATTCGAAGATCCCATTAATGGTGATGTAGTGGAAGATGGGTCAACTATCCATTATTGCTGCAACATACTATACTGTATTACCAATGGTTATATATTTATGTACTAGATTACTATATGGACAATAAAACCAGAACATGGTATATAATGGGCTACATAGCCAACCACAGTAGGATATTCATGAGTTAATGATTATACAATGGATTGTAATAATGAGTCACAAAACCATGCTATTCATGAGAAACAAAATGAACAAAACACGACTGGCGGGGCCTCACCAAGTTACCACAGTTCCAGGGGAACTACCCCAACTCTTGGAGGTTATTGCCATCGTTATTCACATAGAAAACACTGGTTGATGATCATTTTCCACCATTTTTCTTCGTTAGTGCCAATTTGTGTTGCTTAAATCACAATTATAAACCATTCTATGAATTTCTATGCCATTAAAAAATCCCAGTACTATCCTACTATCACTGCTTACTTGGAGGCAGATTCCGCACTGGTCAATTATCCGAACGGATTCGTCCCCGAGCTCTGCGTGGTTTATCCCATCTATAAAATCGAAAACTTTGGTTAACCACTGACGATCCGTGGGATGATCCAATGACTATCATCATAGCCATGGAAAATCACCATTTTTTAGTTCGGTAAACCATCTATAGATGGGCCATTTTCCATGGCTACGTTAAATAACCAGAGGGCAATATATATATATAACTATATATACTATATATATATATTATATACTATATATATTATACTATATATATATATATATTATATACTATATATATATTATATACTATATATATATACTATGCATATATATATATACCCTCTGGTAAACTAACATGGCGAACTGGAAAATCCCCATCTTTAAGTTCGCTAAATCAACGATTTCTAAATGTGCCATTTTCCAGTTCGCAAACTGTTTCAGCAGTCATTACCAGATAGTATATATATATATATCCTATAGGATCCATAGTTGGGAAATAATATAATGAATATAGTGTCCACTAATAATATATAGTATAGTGGATATATATCGTCTCCACTATATATATATATATAGCTATAGCTATATATCCACTAATAATATATATATATATCCGCTATAATCCCAACTATACCACGAAGATCCCAACTTACCGTTGGTTACCCTACAAAAATTTTGGGCCAGCTCCTGCCCCAGCGTACCTTGATGCAGTTGTTGAGCATCTTGATGATCACGGCCACCTAAGACATTTCGCTGCCGCTAAAGATGTGGTGAAAATGATGGATTAACGATGGGAAAACCGTAGGAAAATTGTGTTTAATGGTGATTTATGGTGATTTGATGTAAAAAATATGGGAAAATGATGAAAATATAGTGATTGAACTAACACAAATACGGATGTCATGGGATTTATGTGGATATATCGCTGATTTCTGGCGAGATGTTGGTGCAAATAAGTTGGTTAACTATATATGGTATTCATGGCGTTACAAACCAACGAACAAAACTGTGGGGCCCTCAACTTGTAGCTAATGACATGGACCAAGACTACAATGATTGTAAAGTAAAGTCGTTACTATGATTTGGATTATTGCTATGTGTAATTGTATTACAATGACAAATAAATCACATAATACAACAAAATCAAAACAATTGACAACAACAAAAACAAAATGTAAAAGATGTAATATTATATTATATCATATTATGTTATGTTACATTATATGATAGTATTTATTATGTTATATTAAATGTCATTAGGTAATATTGTCGTATCTTGCAATATTATAGTATATTGTATTACATTATGTATATAATATTGTATCATATCAACCACACAAATATGATCAATGAGTAGTAACATGGAGCTAATGCTATAATGGGTTGAATGCATTAATGTCGTATGGTTATATAATATACTTACTAGTATGATGATAATAAGATTCCCAATAATTGGTGAAAAAAACAACACATCACTATATGTATCGTGAGCTAGTGAAAAACAGTATGAAAATAAATGGTGGTATAATACGGATATCATGGGATACAAACCATCCAGAAATGGGTCTCCAGTTTGAAGAATCACCCTTATTTGATAAGGGATTCCCCCATTCACCCAGTACCACAGTCACCATCCCCACATTTGAGGTGAAATGGTGGCTTTCTGGTATATTTAACTAACAAAAATGGTGGTTTATACAATAGGGTTACGGTGTAGAATGGAATATGAATGGAATATATTGGTGACTACCATCTGGTTATTTAACATAGCCATGGAAAATCCCCATTTTTAAGTTCGGTAAACCATCTATTCCTATGGGCCATCGTAATAACCATGGCAAACTGTTAGTCATGACCAGAGGGTACATGTGATTTCGCTCCAGTGTCATCAAAGGTCACTTGCTGGAAAATCCACCATTTAGTTCGATGATGTTCCGAGTGAACGAAACCTCCATGGCTTTCCGCGCCGAGCGCCATGGATTTCCCAGCTAGCCACGTTTGATGAACCCCCTTTTGGGTCCCACTAAATCCCACAAGTTTCAAGTACTAGGAATACAATTAGATCCCATTAAATCCATTAAATCCCATTAAATCCCATGAAATCCCATTAGATCCCAAATTGGATCCATATTATCCCAGGAGTCATCTGGAATGATGTCTTGGTTCCCGGTTTCAAAATATGACTTTGGGGATGATCCCCGAAAAATTTCTGGTCAGCCCATCAATCATTTGACCTTCCCCTGAAGACATGTGAATATGTGAATAAGTTCTGAATATGTGTATATGATTGTATATGCACATATATACATGGGTAAATTATAGTAATTCACTAACCTGAAAATTGTGGCTATCTTGGGGATGATTCCTCTTATTAACTTTTATTAACCATGATTCCAGTGAGGGAGAACAGTGAGGTCGTTATAATTTACCCAGATACATTATATGTATATGATTGTATATGTAGGCTTGTCCAGGCTTCTGGAACTGCGTAAACCTGAATACGATTGGGGGGTGGGGTGGGGTGGGATGTTAACGTTCATGTGAACTTGCGGCAGCAGTTGATGCTACGCACACGCGGGGTGGGGTGGGGGTGGGGTGGGATGTTAACGTTCATGTGAACTTGCGGCAGCAGTTCATGCTACGCACACGCGGGGGGGGGGGTGGGGTGGGGTGGGATGTTAACGTTCATGTGAACTTGCGGCAGCAGTTGATGTACGCACACGCGGGGTGGGGGGGGGGTGGGGTGGGGTGGGGTGGGATGTTAACGTTCATGTGAACTTGCGGCAGCAGTTGATTCTACGCACACGCGGGTGGGGGGGTGGGGGGGGGTGGGGGGGGTGGGATGTTACCGTTCATGTTTCTGGTGATGATGATACTGATGATGATGATGATGATGATGAGGATGATGATGAGGATGATGATGATGAACATGACCCAAATGAAACTTGTTAATTCCGCGACGAAATTTCGTCACGGAATGGACAAGTTTTACCAACCTAATTCAGGTTTACGCAGTTCCAGAAGCCTGGACGAGGCTATATGTACATATACAGTACATATATATATAGCACATTATATATATGATTATATGCCAAGGTTATTCATCATTTACCCATGGCAAGTTAGTGAATTATGGCTGTTTTTTGTTTTTGGCCCGAAACGAGCCGCTATGGTTCTGAAAGCCCAATGATGATTCACCTCTTTTTTCAACGCTGGCTTCCAGTTCGCAAACAGTTCATCATCCCAAACATGTTAGATTCCCGAGTTTTTGCCATCCCCCATTCAGCGCACATCTTCCTCCAGCGTTTGAGCGTTCCAATTAGATGACTTGACAAAACCAGACTGGAGCAGGCAAGTTTTGGGCTAAACATGGCCAAGTACTATGTTCACCCGACTTCTCTAAAATCAGTTTGCCAGGTTGAATGAGGATTATGTAACTCTAGTTAGTAGAACGGGTCGCTCAAAAAAAAACGAAGATATGCCAAGATTTCGGGTTTGTGACTTAGTGAAAATTGCCCGGATTGAAAATGATTGGGAGGGACTGAGATCTCTACAAGCTGAAGTCTGAGGTGGTATGATTCCGAATTTACTTACATCACATGACCAGCTATAAATGTCAAGTTCCGAGGGGAGGTATGCCATGCATCACCATAATCTGTTATCATCATCCCAATTCTTCAATTGCCATAAATCTCCATAAATCTGGGTAAATTATCATATTTCACTAACCTGAATTAAGGCCCATTTGGGGATGATTTCCCTATAAAAACCATGATTCCAGTGAGGGAGAACAGTGAGGTCGTTATAATTTACCCAGATATGTATATAGTACATTATATGATTACATGCCAAGGTTATTCATCATTTACCCATGGCAAGTCAGTGAATTATGGTTGGTGTTTCTTTGGACCGAAACGAGTAGCTATGGTTCTGAAAGCCCAATGATGATTCACCTCTTCGAAACAACGCTGGTTTCCAGTTGGCAAACAGTTCATCATAAAAGTTAATAAGAGGAATCATCCCCAAGATAGCCACAAGTTTCAGGTTAGTGCATTATTATTATTTACCCAGATATATGTATAAATGTGCATATACAATCATATTCACATATTCACACATATGTGAGGTCGTTATAATTTACCCAGATAAATATCATAAATTTGGGAGTCCATTACGGTCCATCAAACCCATGCCCCAGGTTAAGGACATCAAAATGCCTCCGGTGTGGCGAACTCAACCTCGATTTATCCAGGCTATCCACGTTTAATTAAAAAAAGGTGTCCTGGATATGAGGTGGATATAACCATAAATCACCAATAGATGGTGGTTGTATTCATTAATGGTGATTGTTCATTGCCAATCAGCCAGATACCCTGCAAAAAATGACAAATTCTTTGCTGGGAAATGTAGATATTCCCATGTTCATACCAAAAGACTAGTTAGGATTAGTAGGTATCCATGTATAAGATTGACCTAGATATAAGTCAGTTATAAACCCAATATGGCAGTGTGTCAAAACCTTGTACCCCTTCTGTTCACATCAAAATAGCTGGTAAATGGATGTTCATCCCCCCAAAAATGGTATTAATAGGTATTGATCCATAGCCATATCTGGGTAATCTATGATCATATTAAAAGATCATTAAAACCATCGTTAGACTCTCCAGATTCGCACCGCCCATACCTCCATCTATGCCGCTGACATAGTCCGAAAAGTCGATCATCAGTTTTTGCTTCTCCTGGCGAAAGCCGTTTTCTGCGAAACACGGAAGCGGGTTCACACGGGAAAACACGGTAGCTGGTGCCAGCCAGTTTGGTTATGGTGGGTTTCTAACTGATATAACTAAGGTTTATGGTAATCAAAGGTTATGGTTGGTTTCTAATTGATATACCCTCTGGCTATTGAACATAGCCATGGTTAGAAATCAATGGCCCTAATCGAAATAGATGGTTTACCGAACTTAAAAATGGTGATGTTCCATGGCTATGTTAAATAACCAGATGGTAACTAAGGTTTATGGTAATCAGAACCGTACTTAGTGGATCTTAGATAGGTTGTCAAAACAACTTACAACTCACAATCGGGGCTTCAATCTGCTAGTTGAGAAAATAATGTTCCATACCAAAATAGCAAGTTGGGGTAGACACCATTTTCAGCCCCCAACTGTGTCAATTAAGGCTTCAATAAAGCCCATTTAATTAGCTTCCAATGGGAGAATCAATGACTGTGAACAATCCTTGATTTTATTTTTCGGCAAAATCTGCGGAAAACATCAGACAACCAACCACCAGGGGTTGCCCTACAAATTGTCCATTTGATCACTTCTTAGCAGAAAAAAATGTATTGGCAGGGAATGACATTGCGCTCCATGGCTGGCTAGAAGTTTATAGATTCACCAAACGATACATCAAGGAAACCATCCTCCAAATGATGGGTCCATATTAATGAGATCTTCCCTTTATGGGCCTCTGAAACCAGAGATTCCCTAAAAAAGACCCCGTTTGGTGCTGCAAGGAGGTCCCCAATTCAAGAAACCCCCCCCATGCCCCAGATCAACCCCGCAGCTCCAGCGCCTGCATCTCGCGGAAATTGTTCTCGTCCACGCTGTGGGTGAAATGAAAAAAGAGATCGTTTTCGCTGGTGACTTCAAACCTGGCACGGCACCACCCCGCGACCAGCGCGACCGTGGGGGTTCTCAGGTCATGGGGGATCCCTAACCATTGGACCATGGTTGTTTCAACTAAGTCATGGTCTGACTGAGATGATTGGGGGTATCTCCATGACTTAGGAAACCTCCGAAACAAACAAAATCGAAGCCGAAAAGGATCTGGTTGAGGCAGGTTAGCAAAGAGCCCATCCAGCTCTGCTGGCGGCGCAAGGATTATTTGACCCTCCGGTAATTTAACATAGCCATGGAACATGAGTGATTTGTAGATGATTTACGTATTCAACATGACCATTTTCCATGTCTATGTTGGATTGCCCATCACAGGGTAGACGGCTATTAGGCAAGAGTTCACCAGCAGTTTTTTCACACTTCATCTTTGGTCAAACGTGTCATGCCGTTGCTGGGTACGTCTTCATCATACCCTCCGAGTTGTCGTGACATGTTGCAAATAGTTGTTGGTCATACCGCCCAATATCCAAACCATTATACCCTCTGGTAATTTAACATAACTATTGAAAATCACCATTTTTAATGGGTAAATCAACTATAAATGGGTCATTTTCAATAGCTATGTTAAATTACCATGTTTACCAGAGGGTATTCGTCTTATGTCTGGCTATATCATCTATATCTCCATGTTTCTTGATGAACACTTCGTGGTGGTTAGCTACATCCCATGCGTGTTGTTTCTACCACTACTTCCCTTGGTGGATAGGTATCCATTCGTATTCTCATTCTGTAGCCATTCTGGTTTCAATACCGATGTCCTAAATTTGCTGGGATCGGTATATTGTGTTCTCTTCGATTCACATTACAGCTGCATCAGAGTGGGACTGGTCGGCCATGTTCGGGCCCTCAAAAAGCTGCGAATATTTGGTAAACCCATCTCCCGCCCCACCAGGTATCAAACTACCCACTACCACAGTTGATAGCCAACTACCAACTGGTTATTTAACATAGCCATGGAAAATCACAATTTTTAATAGTTAAACCATCTATAAATGGGCCATCTATACCATGGCTATGTTAAATAACCAGAGGGTAACTTTGTCTGAAAATTAAGTTGAAGCCCTCAATATTCTATCGAAATCCATCTATTTTTTTGGGGTTCATCATTTTCCCAAGCGATTCCATCGCCCGGACTCCGCCTGCAGTGCTGAGGGTTCAGATCGTCTCCTAGAGCTAAGATCTTGCAGCGGATCGCCTGAGCGCCAAAAACCGGGCTCGGACGAGTTCCACCATGGGAAAAGCCGAGACTTGCACGGCAAAGACCCACGGTTCGGTAGATGTTCTGTCCTTGAAATCGGTATGTTTGAAATTGAGCATCCTGAAGTGATGGGGATGAGTCAATTGTTGGTCATGCCCGAGTAGGAGTATCAGAAGCAACCAAGTTTGACGACACAATTTTGATCCAGATCAATTTTTCTGCAAATCTGAAGGGTCGGTCAATTTTGGACGGTTTTTTTGCTGAGGAATCACCATGTATGGTGTGGCCTGCATAATATCAACCTTGGATTTTGGTAAAACTGCGCTGTTTCATTGGGGAGTACAGCTTTAGTACCAGATTACCACTACGGGGAGAGGACCCCGCCAATCTTAAGCAACCGGTATGGGTTACAACTGGATCACAGTTGTCCCATGTTGTCCCCACAATTCGGATGGATCTCCAAAAAACGGTCCAATTCCAAAATATTGGGACGTTAACCCATTGTTCAACCATTAAATCACTATTAAAACCCATTTAAATGCCATATTCTTCCAATTTCGGTTCCTACAAAACTCCCTTTTTTAGTGTCCCAATCTTGGCACCTGGGTTACCCCACCTCCAATGTGCCCACCTCCTGAAAGGGTCATTTCCTAAGTCATAGGGGTACCCCCAGTCATCATCCATTTTAGATGCGGATTTTCCATGAAATAAACCATGAAATAAACCATCCAACGATATATTGGGGTACCCCCATGACTTAGGAAACCTCCATGGAAAATTTGGCCACGGAATTTTAGTTGCCAAAGCCTTAAAGATCAAGAACTGAAACAACTGAAACTGCGAGCGCATAGGTCTAGACTAGTCTTGTCCACAGACCTTCCGATCATTCGAAGCCGGCCATTTCACCAATGAATTGGGCAAATACTTGGATTTGCTCAAGGAATCCAAAAAAATGAATATTCCCTGTAGATTCCCCAAGTAATGTGGTTAAAACAATGTCATGTTTACCACCCAAGACTGGGAATGGTTTATGTATACCACCTATATTTCTGGTGAAATTAGGGAATGGTTTATGGCATATGGCATTGCTTTACCAACATTCGTGGATTTCCAAGAGAAAAAACATCAGCAGCAAAACCAGGGGAAAAAAAGAGCCAGAGCCAATCCGCTGGCTACACTGATGGTGGTGCTCCTCTGGCTTCTGATTAAGATATATGTTATCTAATGTTCATATTGTATTACCATGTTTGAGCAATGTTACGTACAATCTGCAAATAATATTATATATAGCTGCGATCAAGCAAATGGTGTATCAATGCTGTATTGAATACGACAATTGGATCTGCATTGTCTGCATTCTTGGATACAAAAATCGGTCCGTTGTTACAGCGTCCTCATGCTTGCTGTATCAAGTTCTCCGTGCAGGCCGTTTCATTGATGTATCACCCAGTGTTGGACAAACCCAAATACCCTCTGGTGAACTAACATAGCAATGGAAAATCACCATTTTTCATGGGAAAATCCACTATAAATGGCCATTTTCCATTGCTATGTTAGTTCACCAGAGGGTAATTACAAATATCATATTGAGTTGGACATAAGTATCCTATTGACATCCCATTAAAAAAAGGAGGTTTTGGAGGTTTCCGTTTTGTCATGGGGGTACCCCCAGCTATCATCATTATCATCCCGGGTGTCCTGAGGGCGAGCATCAGCGTCCTGAAAGATTTGCACATAGGGCGAACTAAAAGAGACGAAAAGATACAAAAAGTGGAACTAGAATTGTGGTAATACTGGGATAATAATGGGATAGCAATGGGATAACAATGGTTATCCTCCTAAACTAACAGTTTGCGAACTGGAAAATCACCATGTTTAAGTTCGGTCAACGAACTAAATGGGCCGTTTTCCAGTTCGCAAACTGTTAGTCATTACCAGAGGGCAACTCCTGACATCCAAAAAGGCGAACTTCTCACAATCGTCACTAGAGGTATAACCCACTTACTAATTATCTAATTGGGATGAACCACCAAGTAGGAAACTGGCTTTACCACATTACTTGATTATCTAGCTAATATTGTGCTTTGTGAATACCCATGAATTCGTATCATCTATTGGTAAAACTCATCATATTCATTCATATTCATCTTTCATAATTGCTAATGATTACATGTTCTATAAATGTCCGACCGTGGCCATGATCAATCTTATCTTTCATAATTTTTCGTGGTTCATAATGGTGCCATTTTCATGGAAAAAAATGCACCAACAGGGATGATTTTCGCTGCCTGCACTCGCAGCTCAAAGGGAACTTCTCGATCGTAGGCCACCCGATGGCCTGTTTTCCGAGGATCGATGGAGGAATTCTCCAGGATCCCATGGAGGTACGGTTTACGTACCATATGTTTGGCCATATTTTCTGGTGATATTCCCTGAAATTTAGGCCTAAAAAAAGGGCCAAAATATATATGGTAGGTACATGTAGGTACCTCCAATCAATCGGATCCTGGAATGGCCATTGACTGGAGGTTGCAAGATCAAAAGAAACAAGGAAGCAATCAGAACATCGCAAGAATCACCATGTTTCACGACAAGCATCGCCATTTCGTAACAGTAACACAAAAGTCCCCATGTTTGCACAAAAACAAGCATATTGGGATGGTATAGGATCATCAATGAGAACTCCAATTTCTTGGTGTTTATTTTAAAAAAAAAATGCAATGTAAACTTTAAAAATGTTGAAACAAAACGTGGCAATGGAAACTTTAAAAATGTTGAAACAAAACGTGGCAATGTAAACTTTAAAAAATGCTGAAACCAAACGTGGCAATGGAAAAATCCTCCATTTAATAAACCATGATTTTCCCAGCGAACTAAACCTTCGATTGTTCAGCTAAACGAACATGTTCTGTAGATTGAAAATGGCCATAGAAATAGTTGATTTACCTATTACAAATAGTGATGTTTCCCCATGTACAGTTGATTTAACTATGAAAAATGCTGGTTGTTCCATCGCAAACTGCTATAGTTGACCAGAAATCTGAAAAAAAGGGTGCTTTGCCGTGAGTTTACCAGAAATATCCAGAAATCAACTGACTTAACTCATCATTTTCCACATTTTGCCGAAAAAAACGCTGGCTTTCCCAAGGCTACCCCTGATTTCCAACATCGCCACCACGTTACGCCGCCACGTGGCGCGCACCGTCTTGCAGCGATGGGTCCAACTCATCGAGGGTCACATCAGGGACCCCATCGAGGCCACCTTGGAGGTTTGTTTGGTTGGGAAAATATGAACAAAGCACTGTCTTGGTTGGTGGAGTTTCCCAGAGTTTTTCAGAATTTTATAGAATAATTTTATATAAATGGTGGAGTTTCCAGATTTTTTCCACATGTGAAATATGATCGAACGATATCTGGTTGGTGGTTGAGCCAACCCCTCTGAAAAATATGAGTTCGTCAGTGATGATGAAATTCCCAATGGAAAAATAAAACTCATGTTAACCACCAACCAGATATAAATGGTGGAGTTTCCAGATTTTTTCCAAGGAAAGTTTCTGTAGGAGGTTTATGGATTAAATGGGAAAGTCTCGAAATGACGAATCATAGGCCTTTGATGTTATTCTATTCAGGAGGGCTATGAGACTTGTTTCAACTGGTTTAGTTCGCGAAAAAATCATCCAACTAAATGGTGTTTTTTTTCCATGGATATTCCAGGATTTTCCCATGGCAATGAGACAACGGATGGTATAGATTGAATGGTTGAATAAGTCTAGTGATTATTATTACCAATTGACCTACCAATTAATGCTAATAATGATGATAATCATGGTTTAATGATTTTAATGATCTCACGATCTCCTCCCAGCCCTTGGGTTTTTTGGGGAGTTCACCAGGAAAAATCATGGATTCGCGGGATGGTGTTGATGATGGATTCGGTATTTTTAAAAGTCTACAAGAAACAATGGTGTTTGCCTAAAAAGATACGGTTTCCTGCAGATTTCCACCCCAATTCTGGAGTTGGATTGGTTTTAAAGAATTAGATCAACAAAAGTACGGAATTCAGAAAATGGAGATTTGACAAGAATTTTTAGGTGTTTCGCTATGGATTCGTTTTTCAGGGAAAATGTGCAAAAAAACTCATGGGAATATTTACCCTCTGGTAAACTGCCACATTACGAACTGGAAAATCACCGTGTTGAATGGGAAAACTCACTATTTCTATGGCCATGTTCAATAGCTATGTTAAACTACCAGAGGGTAAAGACAGTGGAGAGATAACCAACAAATATCTGGCTCAATGACCTGAAGGGAAATCTACAGGAAATCCCACTCTTCGACACCCCGACACTCTGATTTTGGTGCTTGATTGTACCCATCATATCCTCACTGGTCTCACATGTTTGGTTGATTGTCTCCCATTAAAAATTGCTAAATTTGTGACCCCCCAGTTACAAGTTGATTTCTAACCCCCATGAATACTATAGTATCTATAGTTCTATCTCCCAAAAACCCTAGTGAATTGCAGTGATTTGCACCAACTGATATAGCTATCTACAAGATGAGGCCCCCGTCTAGGACATCTAAGTTGACGCAAATAACTTGGTCAACTATGGTTGATTGGAGGGATAGAACTATCATATTCATGGGGTGAAACTAGACCAACAAACATAACTGAGGGGGCCCGCCTGGTACTTTGGTGTTGCAGTTCCTGTTGCAACTGGATATACAACAATGGCTATAGTATGTTATAGTATGTTATAGTATGTTATAGTATGTTATAGTATGTTGTAGTATGTTATAGTATGTTGTAGTATGTTATAGTTATAGGGGGCCCCATAGCCCAACTTTTGGGGGTTATTGCCATAGTATATCCATAAAAACACTCCAACTGCACCTCGAAGTAGGTTGTATATCCTCTAACTAGAGGTAAATCATCTTAAATCACCATCAAATCCCATTGAATTCCACTAAAATCCTATGAAATCATATTGAATCCCTATTCAATCCCATTGAATCCTATTGAATCGCCATTTTTGCATATCCTCATCCTATAGGTCCTGGAATATTCCCATCAGCTTTGCCCAGGAACTCTCATCAAGCATGGCCCTGCGGCCAGCAGATGCCAGGGAACGCCGCGTCGGACCTTGGAAAAGTCGGGATGAACCGCTGTTTTCAATGGAACTCCATTGCTATTTCTGATTTCAGCGACAAGAACTGGAATGTCATCAATCAAAATATTGGATTTCACATGTCTTGACCAATAGAAAAGTGAGGTTTTCACCAACAAAGTGGTTTTTTGATGCATTGTTTGAAAGCCAGATCCACAAGAAATGGTGTCCCAATCTGGGCTCCCTCACTTCCACTTTGGACCGAACGCTCCTGTGGTTTACGTGAGCTGCTGGGCAAATCCCTAGAAAAAATGGTGATTTCATGGGGATTTCATAGGGATTTGATAGCGGATTTAATAGGGATTGCATGGGATTGTGTGGGGATTTGATGGGATTTTCAGCATCTATAATGGGATTGTCATAGCATTTCTGATGGGAGTAATCCATGGTACATGGGATGAAACTAACAAACATAACTAGGGGCCTTGCCTTGTAGGTGAGCAAACATGTGTTGGTGTGCTTGAGTGCTCATGCGAATGTGTATATACCTGGAAACCCCAAAGCCAGATGATTTTTCCATCGTTCGGGGTTGACATGTTTTTTTCTGTCATTACGAGTTTGTGGTTCGATTGAAGGCCCGATCTGACGAACCCAAATACGGTCTGCTAACGCACGTGAAGTCGAAAAAAACCTTTGGGATTTTGTTTATCAATATTTTTTGGCATTTTCTGGCGAATTGCCAGCCTGAGTGTGTCTTTGGGCCAACTTTGGCCCAACGTAAGTCAATCAATTTGACATGTTTTTCCATCGAATGATATTATTTATTTTCAATCAAGATGAAATGGGCACATACCGACTGTTGAGGTGTTTTTTTCGGTCATTGCGGGAAAAACCATGAAGTTGGACATTTGACTATAAACACATATCATTGCTAATAATACGGCATATGACTGTTCAAAATACTAAAGTTACATATTGACATTTGGGTTCCCATATATATATATATATATACGTATATATATATAATTATATATGAAAATGTTACTGTATGTGTATGTGCCATGATGCGCCTAACCTCACTGGTTTTCCATTCGGAAAGTGAACCCACGAAGATGAAGCCGGAGGGGATCAAACATGGCAAGCCGGAAAATCCACCACGAAATGTTGTGTCGGTTTCGTTCGCTGGGAAAATCACCATTTTCAATGGGTAAACCATCTATAAATGGGTCATTTTCCATGGCTCCGTTAAATTACCAGAGGGTAAATGGTGTTCCATGTAGCGATGTGTTGACCAGGTCTGGTGTCATCGAAAATTAAGATAGAGATATTAAGATATATCAACCATCTAAGACTTACAGTAGTGGTTCCCTCGTGGTTTATGGCACCTCTCAATTGAGCAGTGTTGAAAACCGCAACCCCATCCCATGAAAAGATGCTTGGTTACGAACGGATGAACCCCGGTTGATGCTCATAATCCTCCATAGACAATGAATAGGGTGCCCTGAACTAATCAATGAATCAGCCAACCATCGATTATCAACTATCACCACATAGGTTTGAGATCGTAAAAAGTGTAAACATACAAACAAAAAAACATCAAACATCAAAACCATAAAAACTCTAATCACTTCAAACAACTATAGGAATTATATCATATGTATATATATATACGGCAAATGCCTGGGTTCTGCCCGGACCCGCAACGACGACGGGCGACGCATCATCATCATCCTCATCATCATCATCATCATCAATCAAACCCTTATTGGAGATCTTCAATGCATGTAGAAGTTTAACGGGGGTGGGAGAATTAAACCCGTATTGAAGATCTTCAATGAATGTAGAAGTTTAACGGGGGTGGGAGAATTAAACCCTTATTGAAGATCTTCAGCGAATGTAGAAGTTGAACGGGGGTGGGAGAATTAAACCCTTATTGAAGATCTTCAATGAATGTAGAAGTTTAACGGGGGTGGGAGAATTAAACCCGTATTGAAGATCTTCAGTGAATGTAGAAGTTTAACGGCGGTGGGAGTTTTAAACCCTTATTGAAGATCTTCAATGAATGTAGAAGTTTAACGGGGGTGGGAGAATTAAACCCTTATTGAAGATCTTCAATGAATGTAGAAGTTTCACGGGGGTGGGAGAATTAAACCCTTATTGAAGATCTTCAATTTAACGGGAGTGGGAGAATTAAACCCGTATTGAAGATCTTCAATGAATGTAGAAGTGTAACGGGGGTGGGAGAATTAAACCCGTATTGAAGATCTTCAATGAATGTAGAAGTGTAACGGGGGTGGGAGAATTAAACCCGTATTGAAGATCTTCAGTGAATGTAGAAGTTTAACGGGGGTGGGAGAATTAAACCCGTATTGAAGATCTTCAATGAATGTAGAAGTGTAACGGGGGTGGGAGAATTAAACCCGTATTGAAGATCTTCAGTGAATGTAGAAGTTTAACGGGGGTGGGAGAATTAAACCCGTATTGAAGATCTTCAATGAATGTAGAAGTTTAACGGGGGTGGGAGAATTAAAACCTTATTAAAGATCTTCAGTGAATGTCGAAGTTTAACGGGGGTGGGAGAATTAAACCCGTATTGAAGATCTTCAATGAATGTCGAAGTTTAACGGGGGTGGGAGAATTGAACCCTTATATTGAAGATCTTCAATGAATGTAGAAGTTTCACGGGGGTGGGAGAATTAAACCCTTATTGAAGATCTTCAATGAATGTAGAAGTTTAACGGGGGTGGGAGAATTAAACCCTTATTGAAGATCTTCAATGAATGTAGAAGTTTAACGAGGGTGGGAGAATTAAACCCTCATTGAAGATCTTCAATGAATGTAGAAGTTTAACGGGGGTGGGAGAAATAAACCCTTATTGAAGATCTTCAATGAATGTAGAAGTTTAACGGGGGTGGGAGAATTAAACCCTTATTGAAGATGTTCAACGAATGTAGAAGTTTAACGGGGGTGGGAGAATTAAACCCTTATTGGCGATTTTCAATGAATGTAGAAGTTTAACGGGGGTGGGAGTTTAATATTCCCTAATATCTTTGTTGATCTTCCCAATTGAATGTAAAGTTTAACGGGGGTGGGAGTTTAATATTCCCGAATACCGTTTTGTTTTTCCCATAGGAATTTCGGGTGTTTTGACATTTTTTTTAATATAGTCCCTAGTACCTGTGGTGTAAATTCCCATAGGAATTTAAGGTTTAACGGGGGTGGGAGTTTAATATTCCCTAATATCTTTGTTGATCTTCCTAATTGAATGTTAAGTTTCACGATTTGAGAGTTTAAAATTTCCTAGTACCTTTTCTGTTTTTCTCATAGAATTTTTCAAATATTATGCTGTTTTTGTTTTTCCCATAGGAATTTCGGGTGTTTTGACCTTGTTTGTTTAATAGTCCCTAATACCTTTGTTATTTTTCCCATAGGAATTACTGTAATTTGCAATATCATTTGTTTGTGAATTGTATATATATATATACGCTGCAACGCCTGGGCAGAACCCAGGCGTTGCGCGTATATATATGTCACTTCAAAAAACTATGAATTATATCATATATATATATGTATATGGTACAAACAAAAAAACCTAGAAATCATAAAGCTAAGTCCCAGCTCCAAACCAATGACCCTCCTCACTGGCCCGCAAGACCGAGGACATCGCCATGGCCATGACACAATGGGACGGAGATTTTTGATGTTCGCGTCCGGGGGTGATCAGCTGATCCCATTGTTTTAACTGGCTTAGCCATGACTGGCTTAAAATGCCCATGGAAAAGCCATGGCAATTCACTGGCTGATGGAGCTATCATGTTATATAAAAATGTTAAAAAATAACTGGCTGGGTGTGTGTGAAGATTTGTCAACTATGTTCACTTAACATCACTTAACTATCATGTTGGTGGACGTGGTGCGACTGTCACCGCACAAAAACCCATGGTGGACATAGGGATGAAACCGATGAGTTATGATTAACAGTTCGCCATGGAAAATCACCATGCTCTTAAGTTCGGTAAGCCATCTATTTCTATGGGCCGTCTATACCATGGCTATGTTAAATAACCAGAGGGTACCCCAAAGGTTGATATAACCGGTGTATTCAACAGGTTGATATATTTTATTTTATTTACAGCCGTTCCGCTCTTTTTACAGATCTTTACATGTGGGTTTTTAAGCGTACATGTTCCGTTCCAAAAAACAAAAAGGGAGACTTTTTGTCTTTGTGGTTTCATATTCCACGGTTTCATATTCCACTATTTCACCAAGGCTCGCTGGGTGCATCCCCCCACAATCGCTGGATGATTTTTGTTGTGCCATCTTTCATGGCTGGGCCTCTAAGCCTTCAAGCTGTCTGCTTCGAAAAACGCTTCATCGGTGAGCAGTGCAGAGAAAGTTGTCATGAGAAAAAAGCTGAAAACCGACAGGTTCAAAGATGTGTCTTAATGGGAGAAAAACCTATAGTTGGGGATAGCTGTTCAGGTATTTCAACGCCAACGTCGTGGTGAAATTCTAGTCATGAGACATGAGTAGAATTTGCCCTGCGGTAACAATCGATGCTGCATTCCCAACATGGGATCAGTTCCCTCATGTATCTTGGGGTGCCATTGAGGTCCAGAACAACAAAACTCACGGTTTTTTTCGGCATTTCCATGCAGGAATGTGTGTTTTCTCCACCAACTCTGACATGAGCAGTGTTTAAAACCGGGAAATGCCATAAGAATTTTCGAAACCCTAGGGGAGTCCCATCATGGTGTCATCGTAGGGGACGATCATCTACCATTTGAGGAACCAAGAACTGCATTTATAAAATAGGCCCGATCAGGAGCTTTGGCTCATCATGATCATCATGTTGTTTCGGGTTAACACTTTCACTTCATGGTGGCTTCCTTGTACTATATGTCCAAACCATGCCCATATACCGCAGGCCATCATAGATACCGTCCTGTATTGCTCAGGATCTCTTCTCAAGAGATCATTTTTGTCCGTGCTTACCAGTTCGCAAATCCGCTGGTAGACCAGCAGATGCACGTGTGACAGTCACCGGCATACACAAATGTGTTCTTGTGTTTGCCAGAGATGAACATGCAAATGAGACCGTGCTTTGCCGTTCGAACTCCTGACTTCAATCTCTTCAATCAGTTCAATCCACCAGTTTCAGTGCCCAAATCGGATGCATATGGCCACTTGATTTTCAGCGCACCGATCGATCAATCCATGGCCGACATATTTGACAACGACGCTCGAACAACCCGGCAGCACGAGACGAGATGAGTCAACTCAGAACTCGTCGCCATAGCCTTCCTCCTCGCCTGATGGAAAACTGGGACCGATGCAGGATGTTGTAAAGAAAACATGGTTAAAATGTGTTAAAATGGTTGGTGGTATACCTACCCGTCTGAAAAAAAAATATGAGTTCGTCAATGCATCAATTGGGATCATGAAATTCCCAACTGAATGGAAAGTCATAAAAGCCATGTTCCAAACCACCAACCAGGTGATATCATGGGTGATATCAATGAGATATTCACGGGGAGTTTCTACATCCCATCCGTTGATGGGATTACTCACAACCTGTCGTTGAACAGCGATGCCATGGCTGAGGTTTTAATCACCACCCCCCCAAAAAAAAAAGTACATCCACAGTTTCCCCAGACATGGTGGATGAAAACCATTGGGAAAACAAAAACATCCGCCAATGCAAGGAATCCAAGGTATCTGTTCTCAGTATCTATGTTTTCGGTCATCTGATATATCTGATCTGTGGCTGACCATGGTCTTTCATGCGGGCAAACGGAGAAATTGCCAAGTCTGTCCATGGGCAAACTCCTCATGAAATCCAAGAATTTGCGAGTTCCCGATGGGTTTTTCGCCATGTTTTTTCCAGTGGCAAACTGCCAGCGGGGTCTACTGGTATACAGCATTTCTATGCAGTTCGGGTCATTTAGATATGGAAAATCAATTGGTGATTGGTCGAACTACATGGGATAAGTTTTCCTTGGCAAACTGTAACAACTTACCAGAAGGTAAATCCATCTATAGATTTATAGATGGTTCTACATCATATAGTTTCCTTATTGTGTCCCATATGTGTCATATATGTTATCTATATTCCCCTAAAATCCCATCAAAATATCGAGGTTTTTCCGCATTTCTGGACATGAAAAGTACATGTCTTCGGATCGAACAGATCTATTGCCTTCTCCCTCCGCTGTTTCGATGCCCACTTCTTCGTAGTCTTTCCTGAGCGTTTTTTTGTGGTTCGACAGTCCTACGGTCCCTGGGGAAATGTTCGTTGTTAATGATAAGGAAGCCGCAAGAAGATGGAAAAGCTGGAAATCTGGAAAGTGTGGGGAAGACATCGTCTATATACCAATAGTGCCGCACAAGGCGGTGGCGAAGTTTCAAAAATAGTATAGGAGACGTTGGCTGTTGTGAATCACGGATGGCAGAGCGAATCCACTGATGGACCGAAAGGTGGTTGGAGCTGTATTTTTTGGAGTGGCTGCAATGGTTGCAGTGGTCACCTGGTCGGTCACCTCACCCACAACTGCTGGATGTAGTGTGGTGTAGCGCAGCTGTAGTTGTAGTTGTAGTGTAGTGGAGTTGTAGTTGTGGTGTAGTGCACTTAGTGTAGTGCAGTTGCAATTGCATTTGTGGTGGTGTAATGAGTGTACTGTAAATAATGTAGTGTAATGCAGTGTAGTGTAGTGTAGTGTAGTGTAATGTAATGTAATGAAATGTAATGCAATGTGGGGTAGAGTAGTGTAGTGTAGTGTAGTGTAATTGATTGTAGTGTGGTGTGGTGTGGTGTGGTGTAGTGTAGTGTAGTGTAGCGTAGTGTCGTGTCGTGTAGTGTAGTGTAATGTAATTAGCATAGTGTAGTGTAGTCTTATGTAGTTGTAGTTGTAGTTAGTGTGAGGTAGTGTAGTGTATTGTATTGTAGTGTAGTGTAGTGTAATGTCATTAGTGTAGTGTAATGTAGTGTAGTGCAGTTGCAGTTGCAGTTGTAGTTGTAGTTGTAGGTGTAGTGCAGTGTCATTCAGTGTAGTGTAGTGTAGTGTAGTGTAGTGTAGTGGAGCGTAGCGTAGTGTAGTGTAATTAGTGTAGTGTAGCGTAGTGTAAATGTAGTATTGTTTTAGTTGTAGTTGTAGTTGTTGTTAGTGTAGCGTAGTGTAGGGTAGTGTAGTGGAATGTAGTGTAGTGTAGTGTAATTGAGTGTAGTGTAGTGGAATGTAGTGGAATGTAGTGTAGTGTAGTGTAGTGTAGTCTGGTATAGTGCAATGTAGTGTAGTGTAATTGAGTGTAGTGTAGTGGAGTGTAGTGGAGTGTAGTGGAGTGTAGTGTAGTGGAATGTAGTGTAGCGTAGTGGAATGTAGTGTAGTGTAGTGTAATGTAGTGTAGTGTAGTGGAGTGTAGTGTAGTGGAATGTAGTGTAGTGGAATGTAGTTGTAGTGTAGTGTAGTGTAATGTTGTGTAGTGTAGTTGAATGTAGTGTAGTGTAGTGTAATGTAGTGCAGGGTAGCGTAGTGGAGTGTAGTGTAGTGTAGTTAGTGTAGTGTAGTGTAGTGTAGTGTAGTGTAGTGTAGGGTAGTGTAAATTTAGTACTGTTGTAGTTGTAGTTGTAGTTGTGGTTGTAGTTGTAGTTGTACTTGTACTTGTACTTGTAGTTGTAGTTGTAGTTAGTGTAGCGTAGTATAGTGTAGTGTGGCGTGGCGTAGCGTAGTGTAGTGTAGTGTAGTGTAGTGGATTGTAGTGGATTGTAGTGTAGTGTAGAATGTAGTGTAGTGTAGTGGAATGTAGTGAAGGTGTAGTTGTAGTTGTAGTGTAGTGTATTGGAGTGTAGCGTGGTGTAGTGATGTTTGTACGTGAAAATGCTACAAAACCTTCACGTTTTGCTCACTTTTGACAAGGTGCACAATCCCTTGCGCCTGCCACGCGAAACGACACCTCAACGTCCAAAAGTGGTCCGAACCCCTGGTGTTTTTAACATTTTGACTCGAAATGTGCTTCGCGCCACAACGGGGTGCAATTTTTGCTTTAGCGAGCCTACTTTTCGACCCTCCGGAGCCACAAAACATTGGAAAAACACAGTGTTTGGCGACTTTCCTACCCTTTGGCGCACCTGCATCTTCTTTCTTCTGACTCTTTCTCTTCTCTGATCTTCTCTCTCTTCTGCTCTTCTCTCTTCTACTCTTCTCTTTTCTACTCTTCTCTTCTCTCTGACTCTTCCCATCTCTGCTTTTCATCTGTCCATATTGTCGGAAGTTTGACTTCTAAACTTCCTTCGACTATTCGGAGAACGTGTTTCTATCTTTTTTCGGGATTGCAATACAATTGACTTTTTTTGATGGATGAAGTGTATCGGAAGCAATGAATCCAAATTGAAGTACTGTGATTCATAACGCTATGTTTCAAACATATCGGACACTTGTGTTCATCACGAAACCACCGTTTCACGCGACATGGTTTTCACAACGCTGATGGCTTGCATACAGTCAGCGGTGGCTTGCAATTCATCCCTGTAGTTGTTAGTTGAGACCATCATTCAATGCTTGGTGGTGCAATAACCATCTTGAAAAATAGTAACCAATCAATGTAACTATAGTTATAAGATTGTTATAAGTATCATAAACAAACATATAAGATCATATAAGTTCATATAGTTCACTGGTTTGAAAAATATGAGTTCGTCAATGGGAAGGATTATTCCCAACATATAGAAAATAAAAAAATGTTTGAAACCACCAAGCAGTTCAAGCTACGAAGTTTTTTTCAACACCAAAAAATCCACCGCCAGGCCCAGTTTTGCGATGCTTTTGGGGTGCCTCCATTTTCGCCTCATTGATGGCCCCCGAGAATCGAACCGCGCATTTTCTCACCGAGTGTCTCAAGGGCGGCCAAATCTTCACGAGCTTCTGAAAATTCACCTTCCTCCATGCCTTCCCCCACGTAATGATGGACAAAAGCTCTCTTGCTATACCTTGACAGCTGGAGGTTGCTGGACAGCTGGAGCCTTGAAAAGGTGCCATGGTCAAGTTCGAATAATCATTGATGACCATTGCCCAATTAGTGGCTGGTAATACAACTTTTGATACCTGTGCACAAATCTAATTTGTGGAAATGTCATATATATGTTATAATCTGATGGACAGCAAGGGGTGGTGGTTCCAATAGCTGTGTCTTGTTAGGCTTTTGATTTGTTATTCCCAGCCGTTGAAATTCAAATCAACAGTGATTACCCTCTGGTAAACAAACATAGCTATTGAAAATGGCCATTTATGGTGGATTTACCCATTAAAAATTGTGATTTTCCATAGTTATGTTAGTTTACTAGTGGTTAAGATTCCCTTGTCGGTTAGTCTTTAAGTCTGGTCCATGCCCGCTCCTAGGCCTAGCTGTTTATCAATCCGATTGCCACATCCGCTATAGGAATCGGAATTCAGCCACGCAAGGATAAGTTGGGATACAACCCCTACAACTATGGTAATTTATCCACATGCAACTGGAACTGCACCCCGAAGTATTGAGACTGTGACTCATCCAAGTGAACAAACATCTATGGCCTGTACCTTCAATTTTTCCTCAAATTGGCAGAGAAAGGAACCAGAAAACAATGGAAAAACATTGAAAAACATTACCAGAAAACAAAGGAAACCATTGAAAACCATTGAAAATCATTGAAAATCATTCAAATTACCAGAAAACCATTGAAACACATTTTGAACCAGTTCCCTTAAACAATGCGTTGCGAAATATAGAATGGAGGTCACAAAATCTTCGACCTGACACCATATCACTCATCTTCACCCAGGATATTCACATCCAAACGAAGGAATTTTATTTAACCATTGGGAATGATTATTAAATAACATGATAATGGGAATATCAGTGGAATATTCCACCAAAAGGGATTTAACCACCATAAATACATGATTATACCCATGATAATGGGAATTCTCATGTGGGAAGCCAACAAAAGAGATTCGATACAAGTAGGAGACAGGAAATCTTCCAAGAAAGCCACAACCGCAGCAACAAATTGCTGATTTTTCTATTATGTTTCCCCTATGGGTGATCACGTCTGACCCTTGAAATACTGTGGAAGCAATCCTGCACCAACTGGTAGATGGTTGATTTATCCCATTAAAATCCCATGATGGTCCCAGTGTTTCGTACCTCTCACAGGAATCCACAAATACGTGTGCAGGATGGTTTGTCCATCCACAATATTGCAATTATATATATATATAACTTGTATCCATATTGATAATATACCATGAATATATCATTAGTATACCACAAGTATACCAATACCATACCATCAATATCCCATCATTTTTTCCATGGTATCACCATTCTTACTGGTGCGTTTTGGGAGTGTGGGAAAGGGATGATGGTTAAGAGTCATTAAGAGTCATTATAGATCATTCCCCCATTCCCTACTAAGCACCAGTATACGCATGAAAAAATGAATCTCCTGTACAAACGCCATCGATACCATCATAGTTACCAACTCCTAATTTATGGCATATGTTTTTAATAATAATGGTTTGACTAGAAATTATGGTATATTTAAATATATTATATATTTGATAGATATTTAATAATAATGGTTTGACTAGTGACTAGGACAAGCCATCCACAGTTGAGCCATACTTTGACAGCTTGACCCAAAAAAAAAACTTGGGCCTAAAAAATCTCAAACAAAAAAGGGGGGCAAATCCAATCTCAGCTGCATCAAGTCGAACTTGTGGTCAATGCGAGAGAAGACCTCCGCAATGGCCTTAGAAAATGCTGGTAAAATTCACGATCAATGGAGGTTAGCTGGGAATATCATCTATAATTTTGTAGATTCGCTATGTATATGTGTGAAAACTATCATCAACCATGAGATTTCTGGGTTTTCCGATTTTTTTCAGACAAACAAGTTGTATCTACCATGGGACTTCGGTGAGTCCCCAGGCAGCCAGGATCCTACAACGATAGTGAAGATAGTGAACCCTATCTGTGTAAATTAAAATAATTCACTCTGAATTAAGATGAATTAAGGACATTTGGGGATGATTCCCCAAATCCAATTCCCATGAATCCAGTGAGGTCATATTGAGGTCACTATAATTCACCCAGACACTATCAATGGTTTGCCATCTATTCCGGCGGATGATCCACAAGAAACATCACCGCGGTAACACAAAATCATGTCGCTGTCTTCGTGACAAGGAGCATTGGGCACTTCCCATTTCCAACTGGTCAGAATCGGTGAGAAGTCAGATTTTTGTTTACAAGACCTCATTGAAACACGTGATGCAATGGTTTAAACCATTGTGTATCCATATTGCCATATGTATAGAAATGTAAAAGCTATGGCACCCAAAAAACATGATATCCCATCTCCCTCATCCCCAACGGAAGGGACTAGTTGGAGAATCATCCCATGGAACCAGACAGTGCAATAAGCTATGGAATACTCCACCGGGGTCGTGGAGATTGAGTAAATCCTTGGTAAACAGCCACATAACGAACTGGAAAATCACCATGTTTAATGGGAAAATCCATGAACTCTATGGTCATTTTCAATAGCTATTTTGACATAACCAGAGCGTAAATCCGTGGTGAACCGTTCACATACGTTCACCACGTTCACTATGTTTCCGATTCCTGGGATGACAACGAGGCCCCTCTGCGAAAAAGTTCTGCCAGAGGCACCGTGGAGTTCGAAATCATGCAGCAGGCGCGCATGACCTTGGCCAAATCTCCTCCAGGAACCACCTTGGTTTGTGCCGGGATGTCCATCAGAAAAAGAGATCAAAACAACTTTTATATTCATACATGATATTGACACGTTCCCCAATGATGGATAATTTCAGAAAATCTCCCAAAATTCATGATCCTTTTTTTTGAACGTGCAAGCTGCAGTAGGTGGCTGATAGTTGATGCCACACTTGAAGCCAGTGGGGCACCAATCCACGAACTGAATGGTGCGTTTGGTCTTGATGGTGGCCACTGCTGCGTTCACATCCTTTGGCACCACATCTCCTCGCAGGAGATCCCTAACTGGGAGCATCTCTGCATCTCTCTGGTGATTTTCACGTGAAAAATCAAAAAACAGCTCATTTCAAAGGATTTTCTCATGATTTTCCCATAAACATTATGATATCTTCGGCAAACCTTGGGAGAAGCGACCACTGCTCAACATCCCAAAACATCCAAGCCACCTCGGTACATCATGCAGCATGCCATGTACTTGCCTCGGCAAATGGCGTGAGATCATGGGATTTCATGGTGTGAGATTTAATCTGGTTGGTGGTATACCTACCCCTCTGAAAAATATTAGTCATTAGTCAGTTGGTATTATTATTCCCAATATATGGAAAGTCATAAAATTCATGTTCCAGTCACCACCAACCAGATGTTGTAGATTCGCGATGTTTTTGGTAGGTAAATCAACTATAAATGGTCCATATTCCATAGTGAAATGTAAACGTTTACTGGAAGGTAATGGGATTCTGGTCATGGAAACGTGGGGATCAAAAGCCTGCCTGGCCCATCCCCTTCTGCCTCCAAGATATGGTATGTCATACTTGGTGGCAAACTACCCACGGCTCGTGGTTGTGGGTTAGTTCACCCCAGTGATGTACATGGGATAAGGAGCGGGTTAATCCACTCAAAAAACTGGGGTGAACTAACCCACTTACTAAGTGGGATGAGCCACCAAGTAGGTAACTTGATCCACCGAAAATATCGAGTTTATCCAAAGCGAGGTGAAAGATTGTAAAAATATGTGCAAAACGTGCAGATGCTCCATGCACGGTATGTTTACCGACAGCCCCGAAACAGACCAAATGTAGCTACAAACTCTATATATATATATTTATTTATTTAACACCCACCAATCATTATACCATCCACTTGGAACCCAAAAAACCCTACAATTTCCAAACTTGCCTCTTCTTTCCAAACCAAAACATCCCCAGCGAATCCACCGAGTCTCCATGGCGTGGGTCGCATTTCACCATCATCGACGCAGGCTCGAAGACGGACATAGTGATCTCTGCGACCGAGAGCTGCTCGTGGTAGGCTTTCTCCGCGGAGATCACCGGAGCATAGGAGGTCAACATGAAGTGAATGCGCGGATAGGGCACCAAATTGGTCTGGAACCTGACAGACTGTGCTTGTTGGATCATCCTTTTGGGGGGTTCATAGCTACCCAGTTATGGAGCTGTGAAAAAGCGGACGGAAAAAGTGAAACCTCTACTGATCAGACGATTTAACCAGTTCCACTTGAAGTCGGAAGTTTGATACCGGATATCCGAAGTGGATAACGGATTATGTGGAAAACATACATCATATTATATGGATCACTGATATATGTTTAAATGGATATAATGGATCGATCATTCATCGCTAGAAACATCAGTTTCCCATGGGAAAACGGATCCTAAGTGGGTGATATTTTGGGGATCCAACGTTGAAGGCTGCCTGCAGTTGAAGCCCTAGGAGCCAGTGATTTTTGTGGTTATAGAATGTTATAAATAGGGGTATCCTTCCATAACTGGGCTTAGAACTGGCTTATGATGTGTAAAGAGCCATACAGTTTATGGGTCAAATTGATATACATCATCCAGAATTTGGATTTGTTTATCTATTCTCAGAGGAATTTTCAAAAAATCCGAGCGCTTTTCAGGGCTTTTTCAGGGCCAAGAAACTCAGTGATGTCCACATTCAATGCACCATCAAAGCCTCAGGGCCAGGTCGACCAGGTCGCGAATCGCGACGATGTTAGATCAGATGGCACCCAAGAGCCATATCCGGCGTTCGGAAAACCATCGGAAAATGGTGACTTAACCGACAAAAAAATGTACAGTACAGTAGCACAGTACTCGTTCATATACCCAGCCATCATCTTCTCGTAGGTTCCATGAGTTCCGTGCCATCTTTGGATGTAGGATTGATTCTCGACCTGAGACCTGGACTGTTGATATATCAATGATCTGACTTGACCATAAAAAACAGGGACTCGAAACCGCTCACTTCCTGACCATCTCTTGACTTCCAGGATCCAAGTGGAAAATTCGTAGCCCCAGCTGTTGCTTGTAAATGGTGATCGAGTTGATGACCCTTCTACAGTTAAAGCCCTAGAAGCCACGTCCTTTTATGGTTATAAAATGTTATAAAGGGGGTTATCATTCCATAAATGGGATGGCTTACTGACTTACAGATTTTAATACGTCATAACTGCCATCACTCCCTTCGTGGGGTGCTTTCATCCAACTGTCGTCATCCCAAGACAGCAGGAACCAATCATGACTTCAGCATATACAAAAGTTGGGTGAAAACGGTTTCCGTATGGGCTACCCTCTGGTAAACATACATAGCTATTGAAAATGGCCATAGACATAGTTGATTTACCCATTAAAGAAGGTGTTTTTCCATATCTATTTTCGTTTACCAGAGGGTATCATTAGCAATCAGAATCCCCAAGTTAGGGAGTACAAGTCCCAAACCTTCACCAATCAAACCAAGTATTAGTTTCACCTCCATTCATCCCCAAATGTCCAGTTCATCTTTCTGTGTCCAATATATGTCTGGGGGGTGGTAAAAAAAAAACTGCCATCCAAATAAACATGTCAGAAATAAGTAAATGAGAAATTATAACATGATCATTTGAAAATGTGCACGTCTAATTGCTTATAATCATCACAAAAATCGATTCCCTACAGATGGCGGATAGTTCCACTGTTGGAATCCCAGTCTTGCTGCCCAAATCCTCCAAGTCCCAACCATACAAGCAACGCAAAGAGGCAGTCAAGCTGGAGATGATCTGGGCGATCAACCTAGCAAACGTTAGGGCTCTGGGCTGAAGCTGCAAATGAACATATCTGGCGAAAGAAATAGAAAATGGACCAGCAACTTGAGTCGTTTTATTTTGCCGAATGGGTTCCTAGAGGGGCCATACTGCCAGTGACTTAACAGTGATTTTTCAGCAACAAACCAATGGGGAGATAACCTGCCGACCGCTTCTTTCCATCCCAATCAATGACGAATTTTTAGAATCATGAGATTCAGGGATGCCGAACCATGATTTTGACCCGTACTAAACATTAGCAACAATTGTTTAACATGTTCAAACATCATTAACCATTATTAAACAATACCAGTAGTACCGCACAAGGCGGTGGCGGAAGTTTCAAAAATAGGAAACCTATAGGAGAGACTGGTTGTTGTGAATCAGGGATGGCAGAGCGAATCCACTGATGGACCGAAAGGTGCTTGAGGTCTCCTCTTTTTCTCTCTCTTTCTCTGACTATCTACCTACCTACCTATCTATCTTCTATGTATCTGTCTATCTATCAATCTATCTATCTATCTATCTGTCTATCTATCCATCTATCTGTCTATCTATCTGTCTAGCTGTCTACCTGTCTATCTGACTATCTATCTATCTATCTATCTATCTGTCTATCTATCTATCTATCTATCTGTCTACCTGTCTATCTGTGGTGCAGTGTCATTCAGTGTAGTGTAGTGTAGTGTAGTGTAATGTAGTGAAGTGGAGTGTAGTGGAATGTAGCGTAGTGTAGTGTAATGTAGTGTAGTGTAGTGTAGTGTAATTTCGTGTAGTGGAGTGTAGTTGTGTAGTCGTAGGTGTAGTTGTAGTGTAGTGGAGTGTAGTGTAGTGAAATGTAGTGAAGTGTAGTGGAAGGTAGTGTAGTGTGGTGTAATGTAGTGTAGTGGAGTGTAGTGGAATGTAGTCTAGTGTAATGTAACTTAGTGTAGTGTAGTGTGGTGTAATTTAGTGTAGTGGAGTGTAATGGAGTGTAGTGGAGTGTGGTGGAGTGTAGTGGAGTGTAGTTGTAGTTGTAGTGGAGTGTAGTGTAGTGTAAGGTAGTGTAGTGTAGTGTAATTTAGTGTAGTTGTAGTTGTAGTGGAGTGTAGTGTAGTGTAATGTAGTGTAATGTAGTCAAGTGTAGTGGAAGGTACTGTAGTGTAGTGTAGTGTAATGTAGTGTAGTGTAGTGTAGTGTAATTTAGCGTAGTGGAGTGTAATGGAGTGTAGTGGAGTGTAGTTGTGTAGTTGTAGTCGTGTAGTTGTAGTTGTAGTGGAGTGTAGTGGAATGTAGTGTAGTGTAGTGTAGTGTAATTTAGTGTAGTGGAGTGTAATGGAGTGTAGTGGAGTGTAGTGGAGTGTAGTGGAGTGTAGTTGTGTAGTTGTAGTTGTAGCTGTAGCGTAGTGGAGTGTAGTTGTGCAGTTGTAGTTGTGTAGTTGTAGTTGTGTAGTTGTAGTTGTAGTGGAGTGTAGTGTAGTGTAATGTAGTGTAGTGTAGTGTAATTCAGTGTAGTGGAGTGTAATGGAGTGTAGTGGAGTGTAGTGGAGTGTAGTTGTGCAGTTGTAGTTGTAGTTGTTTTTTTTGGAGTGTAGTGTAGTGTAGTGTGATTGTAGTGGAGTGTAGTTGTGTAGTTGTAGTTGTAGTGTAGTGGAGTGTAATGTAGTGTAGTGGAGTGTAGTTGTGTAGTTGTAGTTGTAGTGGAGTGTAGTGTAGTGTAATGTAGTGTAATGTAGTCAAGTGTAGTGGAAGGTACTGTAGTGTAGTGTAGTGTGATGTAGTGGAGTGTAGTGTAGCGTAATTTAGTGTAGTGGAGTGTAGTGGAGTGTAGTTGCGTTGTTGTAGTTGTAGTGTTGTGGAGTGTAGTGTAGTGTAATGTAGTGTAGTGGAGTGTAGTGTCGTAGTGTAGCGTAATGTAGTCTATTGTAGTGAAGCGAAGCGAAGCGAAGCGACATCTGAACCTCCAAAAGTGGTCCGAACCCCTCGTGTCTTTAGCATTTTGACTTCGAAATGTGCTTCGCGCCACAACGGCGTGCACTTTTTCGACATCTGAACCTCCAAAAGTTGTCCGAGAATGGTGTGTTTTGTGCATTTTGACTTCGAAATGTGCTTCGCGCCACAACGGCGTGCACTTTTTCGACATCTGAACCTCCAAAAGTTGTCCGAGAATGGTGTGTTTTGTGCATTTTGACTTCGAAATGTGCTTCGCGCCACAACGGTGTGCGCTTTTTGGACATCTCAACTTCCAAAAATCGTCCGAAGCTGAAGTGTTTTGCACATTTTGACTTGGAAATGTGCTTCGCGCCACAACGGCGTGCAATTTTTCATCTCTCATCTGGCCAGCTGGCTCCGCACCGGCCGCTTTAGCGAGCCTACTTTTCGACCCTCCGGAGCCACAAAACATTGGAAAAACACAGTGTTTGGCGACTTTCCTACCCTTTGGCGCACCTGCATCTTCTTTCTTCTGACTCTTTCTCTTCTCTGATCTTCTCTCTCTTCTGCTCTTCTCTCTTCTACTCTTCTCTTTTCTACTCTTCTCTTCTCTCTGACTCTTCCCATCTCTGCTTTTCATCTGTCCATATTGTCGGAAGTTTGACTTCTAAACTTCCTTCGACTATGTTTAATCATTGATAGCCATTGGTGAGCATTATCTAAAATCATTAACCACTATTAACCACTAGCAACCACTATTAAGCATTGTTCAAACGTGTTTCCCCCGTCAGATTTCCCCAGCTCACCCCCATTCGCACCTGTTCAAGTTGGTGTAGGTTGGGCGCTCAATGTCCAAGTTCCTACGACAGATATCGTACAATGCTTCATTGTCGTACATGATCGTCACATCTGTGTGCTCCAACAGGGAGTGCACGCAAAGCACCTCAGCACCATGCTGACCAACTCAGCTTGGATGACCAATTGGTATGTGGAGTTGGTATGTGGTTAATTCTATATAGCTCGTGTATGGATCACATGCATCAGATATATTCTATTTTATATGTGTGCACGTGCCCGTAGCTTCCTTGATAAGCCCAGTTAGGGGTACCTATATGTACCTGAGGGGTTCTTTCCATTTGTAGCATCTCCTAAGTGCCACACACCCATGGACATCTCATGAAATCTGCTGAAAAGTGGACTCAGATGGTCCCATTCCACGTCTGTACATGGCTTTGATATGAATAAGAAGGGTACACTGGTTGATTGATCATCTTCCCCACCGAAATAGCAAGTTCGAGGCCACATATGCCATTTTAGACGCGCTCCGTTGATATGTAGAATAGTTCGTCTAATCTCAAATGGTTCTACCAAGGTAGTCGCATACCTAGTTTCCTGGATTTGGGGCAGTCAACACAAAACTACCCAAGAAAAGTGGAACCTCAAAACGATATGGGTTTATCTAAAAATAGAATACCCCGATTTCCCATGGATTATCATCAATCCATCCTCGTTTAAAGTAGCCAAAAATGTGGGATTCCAACCCAATGTTCAAGCCCATATCCTGCCAACCACAAGGGCCAGCCAGTGTCAAGGCTCTGTGTTATACGGCTCGACCACCGCCGTGGCAACCTGCGGACAGCACCACACAGTGAAAGAGATCTTGCTCTTCTTGCCGTAGTCCACGGACCTTGCAGGTGGTCGGAAACCCCACTGACACCACCCATCCCCGATTTTTTCGTGGGCTTACCCTCTGGTAATGACTAACAGTTTGCTATTGAAAATGGCCATAGAAATAGTGAGTTTTCCCATGAAACATGGTGATTTTCCATAGTTATGTTAGTTTACCAGAGGGTCTCCCGAGTAAAAATGGCATATACCCTGCTGTAAACGTTTACATGTGGAAAGCCACCATTTGTAGACCATTTTCCGAACGGCAAAGCGTTAGTTGTTTACATCTGTGTTCGTTTACACCAAGGCAATCCCACGGCCCCAATAATAAATACCCATAAAATGTCCCCAAAATATTCTTTATCCCCTACTTTTTACTATGGTTTCGTTTGGGGGTGTTTAATATATCAATGAGGGAAGTGATCAAAAATAACGATATGGGTTGTGATTGGCTTGGGATTAACCACCAATAGTTATATAACACTATATAGCTGATTATATATATATACCCTCTGGTAATTTAACATAGCTATAGAAAATCACATTTTTTTTTATAGGGAAACCATCTATAATTGGGTGTTTTTCCATAGCTATGCTAGTTTACCAGATGGTATATATTATAACACTATAAGGTTATGGTTTCCCTAACATTAACAACTATAACTATATTCGGGAAACCGTTCGTTTTCCACCTCTATGTCAATCTACAATCGTTTCATAAACTAACCACTTGCGATTCATGATATTCATGGGATAATTCCCCAAGCGGTCAGGCTGCCGGCCTTCTAAGGTGATCTTTGTTGACTTTCACCCCATGAATAGTTCGTTACATCCCCATAAATCATAGAAATCATCAAGTTAACCTGGTTGGTGGTATACCTACCCCTCTGAAAAATATGAGTTCGTCAGTTGGGCTGGATGGAAATTCCCAACTGAATGGAAAGTCATAAAAGCCATGTTCCAAAGCACCAATCAGTAACGAACTTAACAATCCAGACTCTGGGCTTCACAATAGAGATGACTACCGGCCAAAATAAATGGATACTAGAGATCTGTGGAACTGGACTCACAGTTCGTCATGGTTTGCTTTTATAAATGGAGGGGCCCACTCCACCGACATGATTTTGTAAAACCAGGACCCAATGTTTTTCACCCCAAACGTCCTGGTCCTTGTCGAAAAAAAAATGTACCAACACCTATTCTTAGATGTTTGTTGGGCAGATTATTAGCTACAAAACTTCAAAAATGGATCCAACCCATGGTCCTTGTTGGAAAAAGTCTGGGCGCCAACACTCATTCTCGGAATTGTTTTGGGGGGAAGTATATAATGCTTCACAAATCAATTCCAAAAAGCTAAGTTGATGCCATTCTCGGATGTTTCCCCCTACTTTTGTCCTGGTGAGGTTGGCCAGTGCGGGCCAATTTTCTCAGACCAATATGAAAGATTGTTGATGAAACTCGTTGATGAAACTCACATTTGTCCAGATTAAGCCACCATTTTTGGGGGAGAATATATATATATATGGATGTATATTAATATATTAATATAAATTTGTATGTATACATATGATTATGTGTAGATATACGTATGCACCCACATCTTCACACCTCACAAAAATTGCCAACAAAAAAATAAGCGAAGTAATACAACCGTGCCACAGTCGTTCCAGCATGAGGCATCCCAAACCTGACCCAGTGCCGCCACCGCAAGCATTGTAAACGCAGAAGCCTTGCAAGCCTCGGGGTGGCGGCGCCAGTGGCTGAGCCATGCCATAAGGATCGGGATCAGTGAACTATGATGAAATGGGATCCCAATTTTGAAAAAGATCAATGGGATCAATCTGGGTAAATTAAAATAACTCACTAACCTGAAACTTGTGGCTATCTTGGGGATGTTTCCCCGAATCCAAGTCCCATGATTAGTGAGTGAGGTCGCGACGTGAGGTCGCATCATCCTTAGGGATCATCACATGGGATTAGGGTGAATTTTTGAACTAACGTTTATCTCAGTAGTTGAAACCAACAACTATCTTAGGACATGTGCCCATACATACAAGTAAACCACAACAAAACACTAGTTGAGGTGGGCCTACCAATAGGGTGTTTACCCTTTTTTTGGGCATAGTCATGGCAAGAATTCAATTGTTGAGTTTGCATCCAATGCGTTTTAAATCCCCATTCAATTGAATGAAATCACAATTAAATACCATTCATTCCCATTAAATCCAATTAGATCACAAATACATTCCATTAAATCCCATTAAACCCCATTAAATCACCAGTAAATCATCATTAAATCCCAATTAATTAATAATTAATTAAATCTCCATTAAAACCTATTAAATCACCATTAAATCACATCCAAGACACCGGTGCAGTTGTCTGCGAGTTTGCGAATGCGGTCCAGCACCAAATCAACGATCTCCTTTCCAATGGTGTAGTGGCCTGACGACCGTGCGGTGGGGCCTGGAAACGCGATCATGATATGTGATAAACCAATAGAAATTCAGATAATAAGTCATCAAAATTAATTTGAATGGCGGCATATATATATATAAATATACATTTCATCTATAATGTGTACCAGTGGGTTTGTTGCATTGGTTCCAACTGCAATGTCCAGTATCTGTTTGTAATTGTATATATATATATATACATAACACATGTTGTTTTCACTTTGGTTAATTTGGTTGTAAGACATAAGTGCATGTCCCAGGGGTGGACATTTAACATTCCACCCATGCCACAACCTAGAAAAGTGGTTTGGAAACCCACCAGTGAATTTCAACGTGTGGGTTCGTCACAAGAACATGTTTTTCAAAAACAATTCCACCGGCCATGTTGACTTTTGTATCAACATGCATCTCGGCGTTCACCTGTTTGGCATTGGTTTTATCTATGGAACAAAATTTCAAGCTGGGCCTTTAAACAGAACTCCAAATCAGCAAAAATGTAGGTCCAATTGAAGATATGTCCCATGAATGTTCCAGCTACATCACCGTTCAGGAAACAACATGGGCCGCAATGACCTCGTGCAAAGTTGTTGGCCGCATCCTCTTTGCCACTGATCAACTGCTCGGGGTGAAAGAGCTGGCGATAGGTGCCGGTGCGCACCTCATCCACGACTGTAGGCTCCTGAGCAGCCGCATCTTCTTTTCTTTTTCTAATTTTATTTTTTTTTCTCGTTGTTCGTCTGCGCCAACTTGACTCTGGGTTGAGACGCAGGCTCTGAGCAGCAGCATATGATTATCTTGTTGTACCTCTATGCCAACCTGGCAACGTTGAAGCGAAGGATTAAGACACGGGCTCGGTGATCCATACCTGGAGTATGGAGCAATGCTAGGATGCAGGTTGCATGCACAACTCAGCCAGGCGAAGAAGCCTGAAAAGGCAAATGTCTTGGTCACTCAATGAAAAACATCAACCTGCGTCAGCAGAGGCAAGTCGCTGATCATCAAGCCATTGGGCAAAGAAAATGCAAAGAGCGTTTGCAGCAATAGCACATTGCACTCTCCCAATAGGATCAGGAGCAGCGCTGAAGGTGACTCAACCAATCTTAGAGCAGCAGCAAGGCTGCCGGCTAATCACGTGTTGGGTATGTCAAATTGATCTTCCAGAATCTTCCGTTGGTGGCATGGCTGCTGGAGCTGAGAGAGTGGCATCCCACCAAAGTGGGCACAGCACACTGGGCAGATCAGCTCACAGCAGGGACAGCTCAAAGACATCAAGCTGCCACCAGGGTAACCATGGTAGTCCCACCAGGAGCACACCTCGCCCCTGCAAGACCCTATGTGGTCTTTCTTCCCCATGGTGCTTTGAACCCTGCAATAGCCAGAGCAAACAAGTTTCTCAATGAAGCATGTACCTTTGTCTACATCTCTAAAGCCCAAAGTGAATATCTAAGGTGAATCTGTCTAAAGTGAATTTGAACTGACATTCTTTTTTCAGTACTCTATATGCAACCTAGTTTCAGCCAGCTCTCGCAGCTTTGGCAGCAGCCACTCTGGTGGTGCTTGGGTAGGACAGAGGGCAAACTGGATGGGACAGGTTTGAATCCTTGCTGTGTACTGACCACTCTTCCACGGCTCCACCCCACTCTTCTTCACCCAACAGAAGACACTAGACATGCTGTTCCTGTAGGGATCATATGCCCCCTTCACCACCACCTTTTCCAGGGCACACCACCCTATCTCCTCCTCCAAGAAGGCCTCTATATGTCCTTCCTCTGTGCTCCATATGCGAACCCTCTGCCATGAAGCCGAACAGCCATGGCACAAGTTAGGGCCTAAGAAAGGCGCTTTTGCTTGATTTGTGTTTGTGTTATAGGTTCTCTAGTGTTAAAGGTGTCTGTGAGATGTGTGGTGTAGGTATGTTTGTATTTGCATTTGCATCGATGTGCCTGTTCTATGCTGCGTCTCTGTGTCCCACTTTCTTTGTCTATGCAGTGTTTGCTTGCAGCCGCCTTTGACTTTTTTTGTTGTTTGTTTGGGCGGAGCACTAGCTTCCTTGAACATCGAAAAATGCAGAGGTATCTATCACTGCCAGGCAACCTATAATATGTCTGCGAGGTCGAAAGTGTGTAACTAAAGACGACGGATGGCCCGAGAGCATAGAGGAGCATAGTGAGAAGTGTTTATAAGTATGAAGATCCTATAGCATGAAACATAAATATAGAAATACACGATGATGCCTAAAATGAAGAGACATGGTTCAGACATGTTGTGAAAAGCAGGTACATATAATATGAATAAATTGGGGGAGAAAGAAAAGAAAGATGAAACGAAGGAGGCACAGGAAGAAGAATTGAGGCAGGCATTTTTACATACAAGCATGCTCATACATACAAACATGCCTCACACACAGCTGTGATTTTACACACAGATTCTTTACCGCACCAACACTTTTACACACAATCGCTTTTACGCACAAACACTGTTACACACAAACACTTTTCCACACAGACGCTTTTACGCAAATGCTTTTACGCAGAGACTCTTTTACACACAAACACTTTTATACACAAACGCGCTTACACGCAAAACATTTTACCCACAAACTTTTTTACACACAAACACTTTTACACACAATCCTTTCACACACAAACACTTTTACACACAGGCGCTTTTACACACAGGCCCTTTCGCACACAGCGACATTTACACAGAAACACTTTTACACACAAATGCTAGCAACTGACGCTATGCTTATTCAGAACAAAATTCTTCAAGTTTTGATGGCGCAAAAAAAACTAAGCCTAGGAATTGCAACCCTGAGGCAGCAGCAACCTCGAACGCAGCACTTCTGCTCGAAAGACCACCTAAACAAAATAAATCAAATGGCTGGCAGCACTGGACGGGCTTTTGCCTAACTGCAAAAAAACAGCTCTTCCCTACATTCAAGTCTGGCCTTCAAAGCACTGCAGTGCCTCCATGCCTGGGTGTGCCTGTGGCACTACAAGCAGGCGGCCGTGAGAACTGCATGGAGCGAGAGATTTACCGAAAACGGTTCCCCAACATTGCGGTTCACCCTCTGGAGAATGCAGTGGTGCCAACGGTCAACCAGTGAGCGTGTTGGATTCAATTTTTGCATCACAGCTTTGAATTTGCAGTTCTCGTGGCCACTTGCCTTGTGACACTGTGCACAGAGCTCATATTTGTGCATCGGGCCTGCGTCTAATTGAGAGTCAGGTTGGCACAAAGGTACAACAGAAGAAGCTGGCCAGCAACTAGACCGACCCCAACACGCTCTTTCTTAGAGAAGTTATACAGTATCCATTATGGATTGCTTCAAAGTTTCTGCGTTTTCATTATACTATACGATTGTTAGTTTCTTTCGTGGTTGCCACAAGTTGGCATTTTTTCTGATGACGGGAACTGATTCGCAACAGTTTCTGCAGACCGAGGCTCCAAATCCACCAT